AGAAAAAAAAAAAAAAAAAAAAAAAAAAAAAAAAAAAAAAAAAGAAGAAGAAGAAGAAGAAGAAGAAGGAAAAGAAAAGAATTGTAGCTAATGCTACTTGCACTTACCTGATACCGGAGATTTGCTGAAGTTCCCAAAAAGCCCCCATACACAACTGCTGTTTTAAGTATTGGTGATCTTTTAATCCGTTGTTTGGTGTCAAGTGCTGGATTCAGTAATTTGCGTACTGCATACAAAATATTTGAGGCAACCGCAGTGCCAATACTGGAAATAAATCCAACACCAGCAAGCTTCAAACCACCAAAAAGTACTGATGCAACTCTATGATTCACATTCCAATCCTTCCCAGCAATATTCCTTTGAAATGCATTATCAGGTATGGAACCAAGTAAGCCCTTTAATGCTTCCATGTTGTCCGGTGTATCTATCGTATCTCTAATTGAAAGGAAAGACAAGGTTGGAGCAGGAAACCATATAGTGAAAAAATCAACAACTGATCCCCTGACAGTATCCGTAATAACATAGTCAAGCTCTTCAAAGAAATTTTCTTTATGCCTCTCATACTGTGCTAAGAGAGTAGTTGTAATCGATATAGCTTCTTCTATAGCTAGTCTATGTAAAAATTTGGGATCTGCTAATAATCTCTCCCTGAATCCCTGCAACATCAAGGCGTTTGATGCTCAACTTTGAGTACAGAGTCGATTGTACTTTATCTATGTTTATTAATTGTTTAATCACCAAGTAGACAAGTGAATAGTGAGGGTTCCACGTGCACATGCTGTAAACTAACTAAAATAAATGATGGAATAGGTTTAAGGTCAACAGCCTTTGAATCACACACAAAAGTAATTGCCAAAACCAAGCATACCTGGAATCGATGAGTTGGTTCTGAAATAAAAGGATATTGCTCCAGATCAAAATAATTCTGCAAGACTTACGGGGATACCACACCAAGATCAAGTCCTTTTTGAAGGTCCTAATAAGAACACATCAAAATATTCAGTCCATCATATAAAAACTCCCTTGCAAATTTCACCTTCAGTAATGGCATAAAATATTGTTCTGGAAGATTAGGCTATATGATATGCCAACATCACATTGAACCTTCTTTCTGGAAAAAGAAAACCATGAACATATTATTAATACTAATTTCATCTCTATTTAGTTCCAAGACATTTTTCCTTTCAATAAAGAAAAATGCCATTCCCTTAATTCATAAAACCATTGTTTTCAATCAAGTAATTGTTACAGCTTTGATAGCCAATTCAGTCATATCTTTTGATTGTCATTCTTTCCCTTGTCAGATTTTAAAAAAATAAAATAAAATAACTTGTTCTCGCTAGTTCAAATCATCACACTCTAGGCTTAAGTCTCAAGACGTGTTTTGTCTAAACCTAAATTTAGGGAAGAAGTGACTGGAGTTTGGCTTTATTTGAAAGTGAGAGATTGTAGAAATTTCATAATGTTGTGTGGAAATTTTAGGAAAAAAGTACTTCTAGGTTTTGGAGTCGATATAAAGTCCAAGTTTAGTAAAGAAAGGATTAGCTCATGCAATATAGGCTTTGGAATGAAACAAAAGAAAGAAACTAAGACAGGTTTGTGATTGAAATAATAGAATCTAATAGTAGAGAATTAAAGATAGAAGAAAAGGAAGAAGAAAGAGAAAGAGAAGGATCTTATGGGAATCCCACTTTGATTCTTTAGGAATTACTCTCCAAGGTTAGGTTGCATCACAAAATAGCACAATATTTAATTATGAAAATCCACTTTACTGAGTTAAAGAACAAGTGTTGCTATGTTTAGGTTGCTAGCACAATCTTTAATTATCAAAATCCACTTTACTGAGTTGAAGAACAAGTGTTGCTATGTTTAGGTTGCTAAACTCCTACTTCTACTAAGATTAGGATCCCAAAAGTGGAAAACTTGACCTGTAACACAATCCTCGACCCACATTATATACCACTTGTGAGCATTAAATGATTTGGTTGACCAAGAACATGGTCTGTGTACTTACTATATCACAAGCTTTAAAAGTGACCAGAAATGTAATGACTTGAGAATAGACATAAATACTCAAAATTAACCCAAATTTCATTATGTAGTAAGGTTTGAAGCATGCACTACAGGAAAAAGTGGATTTGGTGGCGTTTTTTTAACGACGGTTCTGTGAACGTCGCTGTTTTTATTAAAATCTCCAATTTGTACCTTTACTTATTGTGTTCTATATCAACAATTGTGTTAGAGCTTGATAGGTGTACACACGTTCTTTAGGACAGTTTGTTCATCTGGGGTAATGAGTTTTGGCTGATTTTACACTGCCTCTTTGTCTGTGTCCTAATCTTACTGTTCTTTCTTTTTTTCATTTCCTCTTCATATTTGAAAAGTTTGGAATGGGGAAGCAAAATGATTAAAATGGGTTTTTAAATCTCAACTTTTAGTATATACAAAACATATTAGCACATGCCTCACATTTTCCCACAACATATTGGAATAGCAGGTCTATAGTTCAAAATCAGAATTCGAAATCAATCATAATTTTCAGTTTAGCACACTAAAGGACTAACAGACCCCAGACTGAATCTAGTTTTCTAAATAATCCATAGTAGCCATTTCCTACAATCAAAAAATGACAGAGTCTGACCACTGCATCCATCACTGACTTATACCTCATTTGTTCTACAAATGTGAACAAATGCTAAGGGAGCATCTGAAAAGTTGCAAAGGATACTTACAATTGAGGGAAACAACCATGTATAGAAGTTTAGGATACATCACAGAGGTGGCCCAAAGCCAAACAGCATATTCGTCATCATCTAATTTAGGGTAGTTCTTAATAACACACAAAAAAAAAAAAAAAAAAAAAATTCAATCAAGAAACTCATGTACATAACTAGATGATCTGTTTGGCCCCCAAGGCAACACTCTGTTTGGTAGTGAAGAAAAGAATCTAAACAACCCAGAAAATGTACTTGTGTTCTTCTTCGGTCCACGGAGTTCCTTTCTTCCTCTCGACCTCGCCGTGCTTTGTCTTTGCTGCCAACCCAAATGAGGTCCGACTCCTCTTTGACTCGGTCTCCCACCCGAGCGCCGACTCGTCAGAATAACTCTGCAACTCTACTCAGCCTGACTGAATCTCCTTCGCAAATCTGTGAGCAAGAGAGAGAGCGAGAGAGAGAGATGCCCCAAATGAGATGTGTTTAGGGCAAATCAGAGAGAGAGAGACAGACAGAGAGAGAGAGAGAGAGAGAGAAAGAAAGAGAAGAGAAGAGAATGAGTGTGTACCTTTCCTTATCTTCTTCTCTGTGCCCGACGCTGTTAAATGGAGTTTTTAACGTTGTTTTGCTAATCGAAGCCGCAAAGAGACGAGTTAGAAATGGAAGTGAGCAAAGAGATGATGAAGGAAATGGCGATGGATGCCGCTGTCAAGCCAGTTGTCGTACCGGCGATGGATCCCCTTCGAACTAGTGTCTGATGATTAGAATCTATTAGAAGCCCAAACAGATATGCATATTTTCTTTTGCCAAATATTTTTTTTGTTTTTTTTTCGTAAATTGGCGCCATAAATTTTATTTTGGAGCTTCTTGTTTTTTATCATACAATTTATGACATATATTGTCCGTCGTAAAGTTTGTAATACTTTTAATAGCAGGTGTTGTGTGCGTCGTAAAAGATAATACTTTTAACGGCTGGCGTATGTGTGTCATGTATAATTAATATATTAACGACACGTCATATGTACGTCGTTGAAAGTTTTATTATTTATGGTGTGCATTGCAAGTCATTAAAGAATCATTGTTATTACCATTCACGGCCTACACAATAGACACACCGTGGTTGGAGAAGTATTTACGACGTGCAAAAAAAGAAAGTCGTAAAAGTGAGAAACTACGGCGTGCATTTATTGTATGCCGTTGATGTGGTGTCGTAAAAAGTCAATTTTGTTGTAGTGAAGTAATTAAAGAAGATACTATGTGGGTTTAAGTTTGTGTTTAGGTTTGTGTTTAGGTTTTATATGGAATAAGAGAAGATACTATGCGTGAGGGTTTATAATAAAAATATAGACTATTTGTATATGGTTCGGATCGGTTCCAATCTGAAATCGTAGGGTTCAATCCAGAACCAATCCGTGGACTACGGATTTTTAATTCTTCAATCCGGAACCGAACCATGGATTCAAAAAACCAATCCAAACCTATCGGATTGAACTGGACTGGATTAGATTATGGATTTTACGGATTCGTTGCTCAGCCCTAATATACATGTCGAAAAAAAATTATGATTATAAACTAATGTGAATGTATAGTTTCAGACGTACACATTAATATTTATGTGAATGAATGTAGTATTACATACCATTAAAGCCATAACACAGCAAGTCACTCGTTCTAGACGTCGATGATGAAGTTCAATGGAATTCATTGTTGTGGACTTGATGGTTTCTACGCAATCATATTGCCTCATCTTGTCCAAATGCTCCATGTGCTGATAGTATGCCCATCCAATTGTCTTGCCAGTTGTGGAATAAAAGAGCTTTAAACAAGCATACAAACTTATCAACCTAGCAACCTCCTCATTATCTGATTTCTTTCTTCCAACCAATGCCTCATCGATCAAAGATTGGATATTTTTCGATGTAAGCCTCTGTGTGTCTTTGCACTTCTTGTCGATAAGTCCAAATGTTGGCTTCAAACCATATGCAGTTTTTGTTGGCACAGATCTGTAGTCTACTCCAAAAATTAATTTGATGTCATGTGCAGACAATTTGAGAGATTTGGGACCAATTTTGAAAGAATTTGACGCAGGATTGTATGTCTCTATAATCTTTCCTATCACATCATCATATTTCATGCATGATGATAGTTCAATTTTTATGTTTATCAGTGCATCAAACATCATCCAAAATGGAGTTCTCTTGAAACATTTCAGCAGAAATCACCCCCGCACAACTGTATGAAAATATTTAAGTGAATTCTTTTTGTTATTTATTTTTTAATTATCAACTAATCATTTTATTGACATTATTAGATTTAGAAAATGAATCTACAAAACAGATTTATATATTATTTCCATTACCTTTTGTCTCTTTTGTTTTGTTATTTTATCACTTTATCTTTTAAATGGAGTATTTTCTTTTGGCATTTATGTTTTAAGTTTTTATTTATTTATTTTTATTTTTTTATAATTTGTTGTTAAAGTTAATTTTTGTCTAAAATTATATGGAAAACAAGTGTATGAATATAGGGAATAGGGGACACATTTACATCATTTAACTATTTATAAAAAATAAATAAATAAAAAATTGATCATTTAACTATTTCCATTGTGACAGTACTGTGTATGTGTGACACTTTAATAGTTAAAAGAGTTCAACTGTGGGTTGAATTTCCATCATATTGATATCTCAATGTGAAAGACTTGAGGGATTTATAAGACCCATCATGAGTCTTGTTTCAATGATCCAATTTGTAATGCCGTCAATATATATTATCCATAAAAAAATTAGTTTGATTCAATAATCGTAATTTTTCTTTTATTTTATAGTATTTTGTCTCCGAAAAAATGGACAATAAATATATTTTTGAAATAAACCATCCTTTTTTTAGAGACAAATGCAATAAAATGAAAAAGGTCATGATTATCAAATTGACCTAAATATTTTTATTGA